CGACGGGCTGCAGGCTGCTCTCGCCTCCCTCGTCCCGCCCTGGCTTGTCTCCCGCGGGGGGGGGCTTGAGCTTCCACGGGCTAATTCACATCTGTCCCCTTTGACATGTGCCGGGGATCGGCGGGAATTAAGATGAAACGGGATATGTCGGGAGTTGAAGGAGTTTGTGCGAGGGCGGTAGGAGGGAGGAGAGCAGGACTCAGCTCTGCCGCTGCTCAGGGGGAGCCCCGCGTGGCCCCGCATCAAGCCCGGCCTCCGTCCCGGCCCCACCACCCCAGGAAGCGTAAATCCCAGCTGATGATGGCACACAGAGATAGGGAGACCTCAGGGATCTGTCTGAAGTCCATAAAGGAAAACCACTATTTCCTAGAAGAAAACCCCCTCGCTATCAAAGCCTGGAGGAGGCATCCTTCAGCAGCAAACCAGTGCCTAATTCAAAACAGCTGTACCAAAACCACCCCAACTCTTCCAGACACGATCAGGCCAGCAATCCAGCTGTGCAAAGGGAACAGGCCCCTGGCTCTGCTTTATCGTTGCTGAAAGGCACCAATGGATTTGGGTGCAAGGGTCACCTCTCACCTCCAAACACTCAGAGAAAGTACCGAGCCACCAGGCCACCACTGGAGAACTGAGAGCAGAGTTTGTGCGAGCCAGTTAGAGAGCCCTGCACGTACAACACAACATCTCCTGAGCCATTTGTGCCTCCATCTGTGTCCTGGCACCTTTGGATGAACATAAACATTTTGGCAGATATTTTGCCAGCCTCACCTGTGACATTATTCTTGTGTTTGAGACCTCATCTTTAATAGCCTGAAAATCTCCTCCCTTTTAATTTGATTCAGACAGTCTTTGTCTGGAGGGCTACATTGACCTCTTAAATGACAAGTTCTTTTCATGATTATATACATGGCTAAAATGCAGCCAACTCACTCTGTTTTACCCTCTGGAGACCGCAGCAAGGGCTTTGTCCTGAAATGGGTGGCTTTGTGACTGGTTTCAATAAGTCAAGAGCTCTTGTGTTCTTAAGCATTAAAGAGGATTTAAACTTTTTTATATACATATAGGATTAAGTGAACCTCTAGTTCAGTGTCAGATCTTTTTCATTTTTGACAGAGTTCAATCTCAATCAGACATCTAGGGATTTATTGTCAAGCTTGTCTCAAACAATTCCCACATTGTTGTTTTATATTGATCCAAACAGTAGTCTTGTTTCATTCACATGATTGTACTATGATTTTGATATGAGCTAGTGATAGCTGTGAAATCATATTCTGCAGGTAAGCAGTCATTCAAATGTATCTCAAAAATTACACTTGATGAGGAGCAAAAGCATATTTCATGATTGTTTCTGTTTCTAGGTATTCTTGAAATAACTGCTGTTGATGTTGGAATTGTTGCCATCAAGGGCTTGTTCTCCGGCAGATACCTGGCCATGAACAAAAGGGGCAGACTTTATGCATCAGTAAGTTTTAATCAAGACTGGCATATGCCTGTCATTTCCTATGGGGAGAATGGGTCCAGTGGGGAGCACTGATATCTTATAAATAAACATTTATAGAGAAAAGAGTAATGTGTTAACAGATCTCTGCCTGAAATTGTTACAGGCAACCAATCAGTATATTTTTAAAAGTGGAAAGAAGCTGTGTTCTTGCTTTCTCATTGCATGTACAACCAAAGGCAGAAGAATGTATTTGGCAAAGGTATTTCACACAGCCAAAGCTCTGGGCAATTTGTTGGACTGATAAATACCTCAGGAGCCAGCGTTTGCAGTGCAGAACATCCATCTCTATTCAAAATTATCCATATTTATATTTGATGTGGATCTTGGACACTAGCAGAGGATATACGTGTCACATATAGAATATCCAGAAACAATTGAGCATCTCTGTTACAAGAAAGCAGCCTACTGACAGGACTTTCTTTGCACTGAGCATTTCATTGGGCAGTGAAAGTATTTACAGGTACTAAAAAGGACGGCTATATCAAGGAAAGAAAGTATAAGAAGGTGCAAGAGGATAAAGGTGAAAATCAGCAGCTTATTCTACTCCTTTGACCTCATTTTTTGTCCTGATCTTTGAGGTGAAATCTGGGCTTTACTGATGTTAGTGGGAGTCTTCCCTTTTCAGCGCAGCCAATACTTCCCCTCAGCGAATAAAATACTTCAGCTTAGATTTCTTCACATTCAAGGACCCACTAAGGCGGATTTGTCAGTGTGTATACTATACACATTATCTACCTACTTGAATTTCTTCCATTGTCTTTGGTTACATCTCTAGCAATCTTGTGATCTCTTACTGTATAACAGCCATGTTGTGCAGTTTCTCCAGGAGACCTGTGGTATAGAAACAGATCTGAAGAGGGCAAAACGTGAAATTTGCTTCCTCCAATTAGTCGTTATATGTAATTCTGTTTATTTGAACAGCATGATATATCCTCAGGCAATGTGAGCTTTTGACATGGAAATGCAACTTAGGTAACACAATCAACTCAGTTGCCTCCCTGGTTTAATGTATTTTACTCCACCTTTTCAAGGGTGCTCTGATAGTGTTTACAACCCAGCTTCTGTAATGTGTCTCATGTGACGCACACTGATAAGGGCCTGTGTGTAAAGATGATGGTTCTTTGCTGGTGCAGAAAAGCAGATCACAAACAATTTTGATGAAGGAAAATGCAGATGAAGTGGAACAAGGACACACTTAGCTCTGCTGTGCCAGAATTAAGGCTGGCCAACTTCTCTGCTTCCAGTTAATATTCTGGTTAAAACAGGCATTTTTTTTCAATGGTGGTCCTCTACCCACTCAGAGCCAGCATGTGCCCCAAAGAAATTAATGGGAAATACGAGTTTTCAAGGTTTTTTTTCTCATCTTTCTCTTTTTCTTGTTCAAAACAAGTATGTTTTTCCTCCAGGTAAATTAAACTGAATTACAATAAGACTAAACAAATTCTGAGCTCCTTCCCTAGAATGGAGAAAAGCCTAGAGTAGGACAGCCCAGAGAGTCCTTTTCTCCTGGACATCTCTTTCTAGTGTGAGGAGCATAAGGCCGTCCTGAAGTTTGTTCAGCTGTCACGTGCCAAGGAATATCAGCCATGAAAGGTTTCTGAACAACTGGAAAAGATAATTTTTGCAGTTTCAGCTCAAGTTTCAGAGAGGCTGTGACAGAGGTGTTTCAGAGCTGGAAGGACAATCCAGGAAAAGCTATTCCACTCGCAGCTTTTTTCACAGAAGCACCAAAGGGTGAGGGCTCAGTTTGGGAGAAGCTTCCTGGCTTTGCTCGCCTAGAAAAAAAAATGGCCAATAACATTCCTGATGTCATTGTGCCAGGAACCTGTGCGAGGCCCCTATTTCAAGTAAGACTGACTTCCTCAAGGATAATTGTACAAGGAGCATTTTATGAAATGGTATCAGAATAACTCCAATATCCCTTGGATCACCAACTTGCCCATGTCAATAAGCTGAATATTTTGAGTCCTTTGTGTCCTGAGCAGATTGTGATAATCCTCTAGGTTTATCCTCCCTGATAAACCCTTTACAACCAGAACTGAGGCAGACAGCAGGACAAAACTACCTACATATGGTAGTCGCGTGGGCTCCAGCACCACAGCATGTGCAAACCTTGTCCTTGCAAGGAAGGGCACTTCCGTTTTACAGCTGTGAAACTGGGACATGTGGAGTCTTTTAAAATCTTGTTAAATGACTATCAGCATTTCTGGTGAGCAAACAGCATTAAAGACATGTCGTTAATGGAGCCTATGGATTTTCTGGCCACAGCCTGGCTACCTATGAGCTTTCCATGTCCTCCACAGAGGCAATGCTAAATAAAAAAACCTCTGTAAAGACCATAGTAGCAGTTCCCATCTGCCTCAGTGCTTTACACATGTTAGATACTGAAGTCTTAATCAGACAGGTACAGCAAAGATGATTTCGTAGTTAAGAAAAGATGTACAGTGTGGGAGGTCCTTTATTGGTGCCATTTCTACTGCTCCCACGGAGGAGGAAGGAGTTCCTTATGTCAGGCTTTTGCACGCAATTTTCTCTCAGCTGAGGACCAGATGAAAAGAGAAAAATTTTAACAGATCATGTAAAATGTGAGCACTCAGGATGGGTGCATATTCTCCCTCACAGTTTGTGATGAAGGAGGTGCCCAGCACTTTGAAGGAACACATGGGTGAGCAGGGTGTACTTTCATTTTGTTATGCTGAAGCCCATAAGGAGGCTTCTTAAAGGCGTTGTTTACTGCTCAAATATCTGTAACAAACTGGGTGTAATAGACTACAGGTATATCTAACTACTAATATATTAATTAAAGAGCCACATTTTACATTAAACTGTAGTGTTTTACCTTTTTAATAGAAGTCAATGGTTGATAGGCAGCAACTGGACTCATCTATGCAGTTCACAGGCATATTTAGATCTGTAAGCAAAAAAAATAAAATTACAGCTGAACAACCAGCAGAGCTATTCATTCCTATTCACATGCCATTTTTTTGTTTTCAAACAGTTTTTTTGTTCTCTTTCTGTCTGTGATCCACAGAGTATGCTCACACTGCTGATGAGGAGCCCCTTGTTCCACAGCAGTTCACTTTCAGTGCTTCTCTTCTGCTTGCCTTCTGTAGCACCAATTTGACTTTTTCTTACTGCATGTGCTGCTGTACTTATCCTAAAACTGAGTGGAGTCTTGTTTAAGACTTTAGTTCAGTCTTATTGAGATAGAAGAGAGCTTTTACCTGTATAGTCTTTCTTAAACTTTGTCATGTTTGCTTTACAGGAAAATTATAACGCAGAATGTGAGTTCGTGGAGCGGATCCATGAATTGGGTTATAACACCTATGCATCCCGTCTATACCAGACTGTACCTAACAGACCTGGCACCAAGCGCAAAGCCAGTGCAGAGAGACTCTGGTATGTCTCAATCAATGGGAAAGGACGACCCAGAAGGGGCTTTAAAACTCGCAGGACACAGAAATCATCTCTCTTTCTGCCCAGAGTATTGGATAACAAAGACCATGAGATGGTCCGACTGTTCCACACAAACGTGAAATATCGAGAGAGTCTCCTGAAGCCCCTGAGCAAGAACCAGCGAAGAAGGAGAGGACGCTGATGGGAGTGGGGGGACCTTGTATGGGGCAAGGAAGTGATTGAGAGTCTTCAAAATACTACTAAAAAAACTAACAGATATGGTTGTATTACAGGCATTAACATGGACATTTTTTATACACTATGTAATATAACTGAAAGTCACATCACTTACTTTTAGCTATTGTAGAATTATTATTTGTGCTAAAAGAGATGTGAGATAAGGTAAGGCACATTCAAATGTAAATTAGTTGGATGAAATAATTCTGTCAATTATTTTCACGTTTTCTTTTCTAAAAAATTATCTTTTTCATTACTAGTATTTTCATTCTAACTTGCCATAGGGTATTATGTCAGTGACCCTATCCTTCCTGATCATATGGATATTTTACACTTGCCAATTCTGTGTACACAGAGAAAGCATAGCACTTTCATGGCTCTTTTGGCAGTTCCTCATAAAAGGCTACATTCCTATTTTTATGGAATACAGGAGTTAGAAAACTGGTTTATTTTTTAACTTACATGTATTTATTTTTACTTTATGATCAGTCAGTATCAATTATACTTTTCCCATGACTGTCCAAGAAACATAAAATTGTAAGCTACTTCAAACATTTCAACAGACCTACACATTACTGAAGTATTCTTGAGTTTGTTTAAATAAAAACCCAGGACACCTGACATTGTCATTCAAATAAATGAACGCTGGTAAAGTGGCATTTGCATTGGCCAAGCTTTAGCAACATATACCTGTTTGCCAACTGATGAATTATCTCCTAAAACAGGACCCAAATATGATGTGAAAGCTGAGTTTGTGGTGTGGACTGAACTTGCAATATAGGAAAGTTCAGCATTGGGGACGAGAGTCCTTATCAGGTACTTTTGTTTAGCTAAGTTTACTACAGGAAGTCCTACTTCTAGGTTAAATATTTTTTAACTATTTTGGGGTAAGAATAACAGTCGCATTGGGCATACAAAAACTGTAGTGACTTGTTAATTTAAGGTGGCTGTTAAGTTCTGATTTTCCTTTTTTTTTCAAATGCTGGTTATTTTCACAAGGTACTCTTAAACTGAAAGCTGCAAATCCAGATTGGGGTTAACAGTCTTGAGTTTTTGTTCAATCCACAAAAAAATTGGTTTCTATACATTTTTCTACTCTAATTCTGCAAGTTAAATTTTACAAGGTTGAGGGAAGTCCACATCCCAAGTTTAATTTTGAGCAAGGGGTTAAGAACTAAAAATTTCTCTTCACATCCAGGAGATGAGAGCATAGTACAAAGATTTAGATGTGCTTGACAAGCACAAATAATGGTAATTTTAATGAGATTTGGCCTTGTGCTCTTCAGTTCCTAGAATTAGGCTTTGACACAGCACAGCTGGAGAAAAGAGACACTGCACAGAAATAAGCATTCAATCTGAATTTAACAAAAGATCTATAAGTTAAATATGACATTATATAGAAACAGACAGAGGCAAATCCTATTCTTGGTCATATTGGCACAAAGGTCTTCTTGTGGGCTACCCACTGAATAACAGTATGATCAATTAAAACTAGGCAGTGTAAATCTTCCATCACTAAGGGTGAATTCTGTGAGACAAAGTAAAATAAGTCTGTAGAATGAGTTTACTAAGCCTCACAGTTATAGGTTTAGCACTGCCTACATACCTATAAATGTAAAACCAGAAAAGTGTCTTTATATAAAAAATGTTTCGTTCCTTCCACTTTTGCATCTTTTCTGTAATATTCTAACAAAGAAGGAAACTATATTTGAATAAGAAAGTAAAATTTCTTTGACCTCGTCTTTGCATTATACTGAAACAATGTAAAAAGACACTTCAGTTATGTAAATTAAATAATGCAATGTGGCGCACAGAGAATAGACAGAGCTTTAAAAAAGGGTACAGAAAACCATGAACCATGTTCCCAAATTTTCTTGCTTTTACAAAATAACTGAAAATAGTGATGGGGCCTTAACAGAAGTAATCAGGCAGTATCATATCAGGAGCGACTGAAAAAGCTGTGCAGAGAAGAAACACAGAGACTGAATAAGAAACAGAAGAATTCAGATTTTCTGTTTTGTTTACTTTCCTGTGAACCACACAAGGTCCAAACTACTGCAGAATTCAAGATGTCTTTTGAAAGTTGCTTGTATCAGTGAAGAAAATGAAGCTTTTGCATCCTGGGCATCAGGGGTGTTTGGGGAACATATTATTAGCTGCACCATGCTACCCTATCTCAGCTCTGTATTTCCCTTCAGTTTACTGGTGAGGGCTGAACAATTTGACTGGGCAGGAAAGATAGGGACACAGGGAGTCCTCACAGCTCTCAAGCCTCAAGCAATGCAAGAGAAGGCAAGTGTCAGTAAGCTCAACTGGCAGGGAAAGATCACCTACAGCTGAAGATTAAGAGAGCTGTTTTTTCCCATGTCTAATTTCTGGGCCATGTGTATTTTGTCTGCTTTCAGGTCTACTTCACCTCAACTTGTAAGAAAAACAAGACCTGTTCGCAGATTTCTCTCCCCCAAGAATTATTGTAAAGCTAATGACTAAGGACTGTGTCAGGTATTTTTGATACAATCCTGATTGTCTAAAGAGAGTGGACAAGCTCCTCTTTCCCAAGAGACAAAGATGGCATCTTCACACCAGCTCCAAGTCCATTTCCTATGAAACATTTAGTCTTCACTCCTAGCTTTTCTCAAGGGCAAATGTTTGTGCTGACTGTATCGCTTGGTTTTCTGTCTCTGTTTTTATCAATTTTTCCTCTCATTCTTTTATCCTTCTACCTCTCTTCTACATACAGTCACCTACCATAATGCAACAGCAGGTAATTGCTATAGGTGATATAGGAATATATTTAATTATTAAAAAAAAAGCATAGACCTGTCTTTGTTTTAAGCTGTGTTGCATGCTTGTTGTAGGAATGTTGTTTTAACCACTTTCATATAGGGAACAGCAATGAAGTTTAGCTTCACATATGAATTACATCCTTATTTCAGTTTCAGTTTTCATCCTAACAAAGTCTAAAATACTGACACTGGAAAAACAAAGGCGGCGGGGGGAGAAAAAAAATAATTAACCGTTTGGATGCAATGGCATTTTAAATACTGTAGGTAAGTGATGATTTTCACATCAACCTAAAACAATTTTACTGACATTCCTAGAATTTTTCTTTGCTAAGTCTCATTGCAGCAATTCAAAGGAGATGGCTTTGGGATTTGTCTTTTTATCTTTTAAGAAATATTACTGTTCTTGTTGAAATACTTTTCATTACAGACATTCATTACTTAATATTCTTTTAGCAACCTTGAATTCCACAGTTCCCAGATACTGACAGGCTGAAATCCTATTCATGATAATTATGCCAATTTGTATCCTATATCCCATTTTATTTATTTAGACCAGAACCTTTCAGGTTACCTTACAAGTATATTTGAGTTACTGTTTCTTTCTCTTTAAGACTATAAAGTCAAGATGTGTCTCCTCTTCTAAAAGTTTTCTTAGTGACTTTATACCTTTCCAACATACAGGCTATTATCAGACCTTTATTTTTTTGGTTGTTTTTTTGTTTGGTTGGTTGGTTTTGGTGTTTTTTGGGTTTTTTTTGTGTGGTGGTTTTTGTTTGTTTGTTTGTTTGTTTGAGGAAGATGTAAACTTTACCTATCTTGGATTGCAGAGTTTCTGCAAACTTCACATGCTCCAGAAGTTCACTGACATCCTTAAATTCATCATGAAACAGAGATCATAGAAAGGGTCATTCAGGAAAGCCAGATGTGGTAAAGAGTTCATCTGCTGCAGCCTTTTGGTTATAAACCACGTCAATTTTCAATTGTTTTGTGTTTCAGAGTCCATTTCAGGACAGCCATCAGTATTCTGTGGTTACATCTATGTTAGCAAGTAGTGCAGACCAACAGCAACAGCTCTGCAGAGCCTTTGGTGCCAAATACCCACTGTCCACAATATGCATATTTTGGGAGTGGATGGGAGGGTTACTTTAGATAACTTCTAGTTTGGTCCTACGTACTAGAAGCCTTTTGGCAGGTGGAGTGCTCTGAGAGAGTCTTTGGGTTCAGTGTCACTAAGAAGAACTCCACTTCACCTGCTCAGCAAATGCTGACATAACTCCAATGAGCAGGAGACATTGCTCAAAAGCATGGTCCTGATTTGAACCAAGTGCCAGTGTAGATGCACCCTGTGTGAGATCCACTCTTCCACACCCTGTAACTGTGTTTCCTTCTGGGACAGAAACCAGATCTAGAGATCATGACTTCAGCCCTCTCCATCCTGGGTGGCAAATCAGTTACCAGATCAAAACTACTGCTGTTGTCATCCTGGAACCAGGAGAGCATGGTCACCACATATTAATTGCCTGTTGCTGGCCAGTCTGCCTTAGGTGACCCTGCTTGAGGAGAGAGGTTGGAGCAGATGCCCCTCAGAGGTCCTCTCAAACCTCAACCTTTCTGTGATTCAGTTGTACTGAATTCAAACTGATTATTAATTTGCCCTCGCCTTTGGGTATTTAGCCTCAACCTGTACATTTCAGAGTCCAGTTCCCTATTGCAACCCCTCAGATTTCTCCCCATTCACAAACTTCATCTGAATCCAAGTGTACTGTTCAGTTTTGGATCAGTTATTCTCTAGCCCATTTTCACAGTCTGGTGTACTATCTGTTCTTTCCCTTAAAATCACTTATTACACATTCAGTATAGTCATTTAATTGCCAGATACAAACAAAAATTGAGCAGTTGGTGTGTGTACTTCTAAAAGCTACCTTCTCAGCTTGCTGTCCTGCACCAGCTCTTTCCTGAACTCCACAAGTTACATTCTCTTCATCTCCTCCCCATCATAAAAATCTTTCTGTTGGTGTCATTTCTAGCACTGTACAGAACCATTTCCTTCTAGTCTTGCTTTTTAAAAAAAAATAAATATATTCTGTAGAAATTGTACAAACTATACAAATATTTTGTTACTTTCCCAGTCACTCATACATTACTTGAACTGGACATGTATGTAATATTCTTTCATGGG